TGTCACTAAAAAATAAAAAATAGCCACAAAATGCTTTTTTTCCTCTTTCTCATAGAAAACTAAGAGCTCATGTGAGTAATATCATGAACTTGATTCAATGCTACAGTTCAATTTTCTACTCATGCATTTGCTGTAACATTAGTGGGGCAAACTCAGTTGAAAATATAATCCATGGCCCTTACTGCAATTTCCTGCAGATTTGGAGAGCAAAGCAAACGAAAGGAGCTTAGCATCTAAAAGACAACTGTCACCAGGAATGGGGTTCTTTTTTCATCACCCTAAAGAGGACGACAACAGGGACATCTTAGCATTTTCAACACGTTTTCAGTCTGTTCTGTGGACCAGAGAAGGTTTTCTTGCATATATTTAAGCATATATTCTCATTAAGATTTTTGGTATGATAGCCAAAATTAATGCTTGGAATAGCAGTAAGTGGACATGTTTAATGTATACAACATTAGAATTTTTGAGTGCAGAACATACCTACAGAAAAGTGTTTACTATTCAAGCTCATATAAACCCGGGACCTGTTACTTACATGGGATAGAGTTTATACTCTTGCTGGTCACCCTCTGCAGAAGCAGATCACTGGCTGCTTTCTGCTAACAACAGTAATGCACTGAAATTGGCTCTGTTCACTCAGAGCACTTTTACAGCTCAGTATGCATGCTTAATAGATGTTTTTAAAGGAAAAAAACAAAACAGTAGCATGAAGCACATGCACTATATTATGTCCAATGCGCTGCCAATAATGGTACCCTTGGACAGCCTAATAAATCTTGCATGAACAATGAAACATCACATATGGGAATATAAATTAAATATTAAGAAGCATGGTGGGATTTACTACTACGGCTCTGTTGCCCTCTACAGGCTGTGTTTAGTCTTAGAGAGGCCAGCTACTTTTGGGGAGATTTTTGTGACAAGGAACCTTCTGCTATCGCGAGAAGCTGGTGACTTTGTGCCATTGCTAGGCCAGCCACCATTCCACTCGCTTTCAGGCAAGCTCTAACAGAGCATTTTCAAAACAAACCCAAGGCAACTATCTCTGTGTTTCAAAGTCACAAATTAAACCCAGCGAAATGAATCACTGTGAAATCTTAGGACAAGAACAGATTGTCTGTCTCCTTGTATAAGTGCCAGGCTCTGCTTCTCTGCTATTAACCCTGCATGCGTGTTCCAGCAGGTTCTTCTGAGCACTGGCACTACTGCACTGAAAGGAGCTCAGTTTTGGGAGGTGTTCCCAGCAGACAACAACTGCTTGAACGTTTCCCTGCTGCAGAGCTCAGGCACAGGGATAGGGAAGGGAAATGTACCTGCTAAGGTAGCTGTGCACACCCTGACTCCTGCTGAGGGTTTACAGGGAATGAGATTATCCTGTTAACTTCAGAGAGCATCTCCCCTTTTTCTTCCATTTCTCTCAAGGCTAGCAGGAGACTGGTGCATACCTCCAGCAGTCTGTGGTCATGGCCAGCTCTTAGGAGGAAATAAAGGAACAAAAAAGCCTATTGATAAATTCAGGGAAAATGCTCAGCTTGCAGGATTAAGGCAGTTTTTTGGGGGGTGAGGATAACTAGAGAAAAATACAGCTTGCGAGGCTGAAAAATTTCTTTTTAAACCTATTCTTAGTTCTTCCTCCTTACTAATATGTTAAAGATGTTCTGCTACATCAACTTGAATTTGTTGCTATCAAAATCAACCAGGTTCCACATTAATAAACTGTTCTATAAACCTTTTGGCTCACACACTTACTTCACATGCTGAATTCTGGTCTCCTTTTCTGTCTGAAAACCCAGAGCAACTATAGTGATCTCAAATAAGTTCTGCAGCATTTGCACTGAAATAAAAGAGAAAAAAGCAAATGAAGTTACACTGTTTCCTTCTCTTTTTTTGTCAGCCAGGTTCATTCTAGTGAGGTAGCAACTGCTAGTGAGTAGGTCAAGTGGCTGTTCATTTTTCAGGACAGGGGCAGGAACGATGATGCCCCCACAATTACTATCAAGATTTAAAACAGCTTTTTCACTGAAAATATAATTAGTGTGAAGTCTGCAGTCAAATTATACTCTGAAGCTACAGGCACTATCTTGAGTATTACCTTATCAATGAGGCATCATTACAAATAATTGCAGCTCTTAAATTTTGCGAGCCACAAAGCTTAACTGAATGGGGATAAAGGGAAAGATAAAGCATCTCCCAGCTGATGATTTTCACTTCAGGGATGTGTGCATGCTGTAGAAGTTTAACACCTGTTTTCCAGAGCCATTTTCACTCCCAGCAGGTGCTTTCAGGTATGAGGAGCTCAGAAGGAGGTACAAGGGAGCAGCTCTCCTGGAGCCATGAGGCAGAACCTAGCAAGGCGCAACTGCTGCCCAACAGCCCCAGCTGGCACCGGGTGGGTGCCCCCCACAAGGACAGAAGGGGACAACATCAGCAAACTGCACCTCCTGCCCCGCTCCATCTGCACCAGACAGATGCCAGGACCCACTGCCACATCATGGGTCACTTAAACCGCACAGCTACGGAAGTTGCAGTATTTTATTTTTGACATGCCTCACCCTCCCCCAAACACTCTTTTTTCTTAATAAAGAGCAGATATCTAAACTAACATTTGAAACTCTGCTGACAACTTTCCATTACAAAAAAGGACTTTGCTACTTTTGTCCACCAAGATGACCACTCTACAAATGTAGATGAAAATCTTACAATGAAGTAGTTGTCATGTGTGCTCATGACCACATATATCTATTTTTTATATATAAACTTGAAAACAATACTTAGGATAATCACTATTAATAAGTACTGCCCAAGGGCTGCTCTCACTGTGGCTGAGAGCTAGCCACCTCATTTTTTGGTAATAATTCATATGGTTGCTGAAAACTATATAATTCTGGATTTAAGGTAGATAGACTGGCTATTTCATGAGTATCAAATAACATAACTACCCTTTCCTCTGGTTTCTATTGGCTCACTGAAGCAAAACTTTTAAAACCAGACTTGGAATAATGAGATTCTGCATCTTTTCACTTAGCACCTATGCTCAGTCTAACTGGTAGGGAAGTGTTTGCACTTGCCTGACATCCTCTCTCAGCATTGCTAACTGGCAGTCATCACTCCACAACTCCATAGCTTTAGTTCAAGTCTATCTTCAAAGTCTTTCCCTTAGTAAAATGTGGCTGCAACAGATTAATGCAAGGAAAACAAAATTGGTCAGGAAGAACTTGCACTTTACTGAGAGCAAAGATGACCAAGTTGTCATCTCCTTTCTCCTTTCTTTCAAACTCAGTAATTACCTTGAAAACTTGCCTGAAGTGTAAGCCTAGCTTAAGAACCCCTACTTATTTTTTAGGCCCCCCATAAAGTTTAAAACAAGAGATTGTTAGCATCCCAATCACTTTTACAAACATCAGAGGATATTCATAGAATTAGTTAAATATGAAGAACCAGCCATTGCATAACCCCATTTCACAGAAGCTCTTTCCTCTTGCACCAGGGGTAGTTCTAGGTATTGGTAAAGTTAATCTCTGCTCCCTCTTAAAACCATTCCCCTTCTTTCCCAAATATAATACTTTCCATTACACAGGACTAAAAAGGATTACAACTAAGTTAGAGATATTTATATTTAAATATAAATGCATAGTTTATTATTCTGGAATTTTTCTCTGGGGAATAGGATGAAACAATTCAAGACAACAGGGCTAGACATGCTCAGGTATCCCCTCTGAGGGGCATAACCAGACCTGGCAGAGGACAGCAACCATCACTCCAAAGGTCTGACCTTCATAATTAGCACCAACCGTATATACACAAGCAAACAACACATTAAATTTTGGAAATTCTCCTTGCATTAATAAGTTTGTGAATATTAGCTATGCTGGCCTGCAGTGAATGTATTCGGAAAAACTCAAAAGTAAAACTAAAGCTCAGTACAGAACACATTTGTTCCCACAGAATTCAAAATACAAACCTCCTATGGACTGAGAAGAAACCCACGTATTTCCAACAAGACTCTATTGAGAACCTGTTTCAAAGAAGCCCCTTCCGCTTTTAGAGGAAGCTTCAATGATTTGTTCCCACAGAATTCAAAATACAAGCCTCCTATGGACTGAGAAGAAACCCATATATTTCCAACAAAGCTTCAACAGAAGCTCCTATTCCCTTCTAATGTCCAGTAACTCCTGCTCATTTTATATTTTACACAAACAGCAAAGAAATAATTATCTTTTTCTGGTGATAACTGGTACTTCTCTCTCCTGCAAATGGGAGAGAACTAATTTCTTTGCTACTATTTACTTACACTGTGTCTCTCTCCTCTATCACTTTTATTCTCAATAAGCTGGGAACAAAAAGGATTATGTTCCATTAGATATTTATGAACTGAATGTATTTCAACTCTTGAAATTAAGATTTTTATTTTAAAAGAAAGGTCATTGTAAATCATTGATATGAGATATTGCAAGTTTGAGTTAGCTAAGTTAGCAAAGTATTCTGGGGGGGAGGAAATACATCCACATGAATGACGTGACCATTTCAATTAATTTATTTCAGCCATATATATAGCTATTCTACACTGACTAGTCTCAAATACTCATGCGATCAAATTTTATTGGCACCAACACTTATGGAAAGTGAATTGCAGGGTCACATGCAGAAGCATTCTTAAGAGCAACATTTTAGAATGACATGTGGGAGATTCACACAAAAACTCTACCACAGTTAATTTATAGAATAAAAATCCACTAGGCTTAATTTATTCCATTAACTTTGATGGAACACCACATCGCAGTCTGTTTACTACAAGAACAGGACAAAATTACATTTTCCAGATATAATTCTTCATCCAACTCTGTAAATCTTTAAGGTTTGCCATTTGCATTATTCAGAGCTGCACACATTCTGCTCCCGTCTCATTGATCAAGTCAGCCTTTGGACTGTAAAAAATTTAGAAATCATGGATTTGCAAGATTTTTTTGCATTACAATTCACTAAAAACAAGCAGCAGCTGTTGACATGTATACAATTTTATTTTAAGGACACAGCAATCACAATTACAGAAACAAAACATTATTTTAATACTGCAAACTTCTCCAGAAACTGACTTGCAATTTAAACCACAGTTAAACCTGAAAGGCTTTTAAACAGTATCTTGGGGAAAAAACACAGCAAACCTTAAATATATTAACTTCAAACTTTATGTGCTTATTTCTTTTTTTTGGCAGGTGGTGGTAGCTAAAGCTCCTCAAAGTCATGGCCACTTCCATTCATTGCTTCAGGGTGCATCACCCTTCCCATGAATAAGATAGTACCTGTGGCAAGAGAGGAGGAGGGGGGGAAAGGGGATAAGTCAAAACCAAAAGAAAAGGTGGAGGCTATAAGATGCTACATAACAATATTAAAGACTAGAAAGTATGATGAATAATTTGGGAATATATAATATGGGAATATAGGGATACGGCCGGGGTATGCATGCATCAGAGTGAGCTCCAGATACAACACAGGCAAGAACAGGGAAGTCTTCTACATGCAAGTGCCTCTTAGCTTATTTTAAGCACTTGATTCAAGCCCACTAGAAATCAAAACCAAGATTTTCTTTCATTTCAGTAGCTCTGGTAAAAGCCCGTGGAAATGCTGCCTCTGCTGTGAAATCAGTGTCAGCCTCGAGGCTGGAGGCTTCCAGAGGTGTGCAAGCCTACCCCAAACAACCATCCTGAGCTGCTGGAAACGTTCCCCACACTAACCAAGAGCCACAGAAGCACCACACAAACACTGTTTGGTACATATGTGTTCACAGATGTGCTCCCTGTGGCAACATGTGCTCCATGGCAAGACACACTGTGCCCCTGAGTTATTTAATCACCATTTACAGCTAACCTGAATAATCACAAGCACTGAGACTACTCTCATAAGGAAAGACCATTAATTTCCACACATCTTTCCAAAAGGTTTCTAGCCTTAGCTTTCTAAATTAGCAGTGTGCTTTCTGGTTTTAGCTACAGCTGTTGGTATAAACACTACAGTTACTATAAATGCACAATACCTAGGAAACACTAAGAATTGCCCTAAGGCTACCAACATCCACTCTCTCCCTATTTAAAGCATCTTTTTTGAGCCAGGAGAATTGAGCAGGCGAAAGGACCAACTCCACCTGCATTTTTGCCCAACTACATCATTACAGCAGCAAAGCTGCTCAACTTCTGGTCCTTAGGGGCACCAGGCATGACAAACTGTAAGCACTTGTACAACATCCTGCACACAAGGCACCCAGCCTCGTTACTAAGCACTTGTACAACATCCTGCACACAGGATAGAGCATGGGCATCGCTGCAGTCTAAATGGTTTAATAAACACTGATGCTTCTGAGGGGCAGCTCAAATGCAGCAAACCCCCTTGCAAACTGGGACTACTGATGCCTGCCTGTAGAGCAGATAAAACACACTGATCCATCAGGTAATCTCCTACATGGCTGTGTGGTGTTCTATTTGCCACCCAGGCACATCCATATCATTAGGAAAGATAAATTAAAAATATGAAACCAAAGAACTACTTAATCATTGCCCGGTTTGCTAGTGTGTGCTGTCCTTGCCCCCTGTCTGCCACAGAACACTTCAACAGCACAGAGTTATTCACAACTGTAATTTCTGCTCATAACAAATCATTCCACACTACAAACCTATTTTGCTGGTCTTACTACAGCCTAGCTCAGTGACTTTGCTTATTTAGGAGGTAACACTGTTCCTTTGAAAGAAAACAATTTATCAGCAAATTTCTCTTCCCCGGGATTTTTCATCAAAAAGAATTACAATTTTTCAGGAAGATGGGAGATTTGGATGTCTGTCCTGATGAAATGTAAAGAGGACATAGAAAGATTTGTTGGAAAAGATCAGTCTTAATATCAGGCATTTCAAGCTAGATTAAGGAAAAATCACACAAGACCAATTAATTGATCAAAATGTGCAGTTTTCTTTTGCACAACACTGATGGGCAGTGAAAACAAATGGAGGAGTTTTTACAGAATCTCACCTGTTCTTCTGTTTCTGACCAAAAAGAAAAAAGGATGATCAGCTATAACCTGGGGATACAGCACTGCCATTCTACTAATAGCGATCATTCCTAAAAGGAAGAGAACAGAGGCAACTCGTTAGACATCACTGCGCCCTTTCCACATGCCCCTGCTCTTCATGAGAAATACTTGCAGCTCAGACAGACCCTGAGAACAAGAGGAACGTCCCAAGTAATTGCATGCTTATTTAGGCTTTCAGGATGATTAACAACAGTGCAGCACAATTTATTCCCAACATGAGCAGTTTACAAATTATCAGATGCAGAACCTTGAGCCTGCTCGCTTTAGAAAGTGCATTAAGTTAAATAGCACTGCTGACCTGTTACAAACAGTTCCAAGGCTGCATTTGATAGTCGGGAGTAAGCCTTACTAACTAGAGTAGACAATAGCTAAACAGGCTGATCTTGCAGCTTTTAGAGCCACTTGAGTCCTTAAATAACAAAGAGGTTGAGGGTAAAACTAACCAGCAGTCAGGCAGAATTTGGCTCTTCATTATTTTTATTTGGAGATGCATGAATTTCTCCAGGCAGTTATTATTCCCAATGTGTCATTTTCTTTTACATTTTAACTGCACTGCCAACCAAAAAAACACTCTTGCATGCCGGTAATCTCTGCCCATACAAATGTTATATTCTAACAGTTACTGGTTTTCATGATGATGCAAACTGCTTTTCCTTTCGTTAAAGACTGGTACAAGTACGGGTACTATTAGTAATCACCCAATAATCCCATTTGGCAATTAACTTATTTTCAGGAAGAAAATGTGGCAACTAAGTAACTAACCCTTTGGCCTTGCAGCATTAACACTGGAAAACTAACCTGCTATTTCCTCCCTCCCACCTTACCTCGTGTATGGGCTCATTAAGGGAACGCTACAACTCTCAGCTCCCTCCAGCCATTCTGGAGCCAAGGCTCAGTCACTGCATCTCAGTTGGCAGATCGAGACCCCAATTACCAGTACTTATATTCCACAAAAAGTGGAAAACACAGTTTGTGTTTGCCTGACACTTAAAAAATTTAACAGAAGCTTCTCCACAGGATGCTCAAAATGCTTTGCAAAACATATCGTGTTCTGAAAATGTCAACGGTTTAGATTTCCAGAATTCTCTTCAGGAAAGCAGCACATTGGCTGTGCTTTCTCTTCATGCTACACACTACTCAGCTCTCCTGGCTTTGCACTAAGTCAGCTTTAAAATATTAATTAAGCAGACATTTGATTTAGTTCTGCTTTGCAGTCAGGTACCTGAGGCAACGGCAGCTTCTGATCCTTCCTCATTAACTTCTAGGAATGCTTTGTGAAAAGCCTTTCCAAGGTAAAGCTCTTTGTTATCTGGAGAGGAGAAGGAAACAATTCAAGTGGCTCAACAGTAAGAAGGAAATATTTAAAAACGCACCGACACAGAAACCCAAGATTATCATTCAACTTCGGAAGCAAATAGAGGCAGAATAAAAAGCTTTATGCACAAGAATGGCATGAAAATATTTCCTGCATGAAAGTAGGAGCACCATTTAGCTGGTTTATTTCTGTAGAGTTCTCCTATGCTGTTTAGTATTGTAATAGCATCGCTGCACCTACAGTGCCAGTGTACCAGATCCAGCATAAGTCAATTCTTGCACTGAAGAATTTTAAAATCAACAGTTTAGGGAAAAAGTTTGACACTACAGAGTAAATGCTTATTAATATGAAGAATTTTTATGTACTTCTGTATTAGTTGTAGTGTTGGTTTCTTGAGCAAAAAGAGCAAAAATACAACTAAGCAAGCAAACTCACACAAGCCAAGGGAAATAAGAATTTTGCAGCCCTGAAGGAGCGCAAAAAGAGTATTTTATCCTAAAATTCCAATAAATTTGTTTAGCAGTAGACAAAATGATACACCCTCATCCTCAACCATGCATTTCAATCACACTTTTCATTATGCAGTTTAAGCCTTCTTCTGTCACCTGATAATTACAGCCTTAACCCACATTTTATCCTGCATGTTTCTGCGTAGCACACTGTATTTTTGGCCAAAACCCTCAGCATTTAACAAGGCTGGTCTCCATCTGACAGGCACAGAAGGATGGTCTAGTTTATCTAACACAAACATTATGAACATTTACCATCAGCTCTAATGATCTGATAGTATGGTTAGTTGCAAATGTATTCAGAAGCTGAGTGTAAAAAACAATATATTAAGTCAACAAGAACATAAGAAATGCCATGAGACCACTGTGTCAAGCCAGCCAAGCACACTGCTTTGGGCAGCGTTATTGCCACTTCAGCACAAGGCAAATCAGCCTTACGGGTGATAACACAAAACTTACCTACAAACAGAAAATCCTGTCACCCAGAATATGCCCTAAAGCCAGTTTATAATTCATAGAATACACAGAAGGGCTTTATTCAATGTAGTTTTCATTGCTCTGAAATATCAAATCTGTTATTTTTTTCATCCTAACATCATGTCCTCTAACAATACCCAAAGAGTTCTGCAGATGATTTTTCTCTGTACTTTCTATTTGGTCTCAATCTGCTGCCTTTCAGCTTCATTAGATATCTTGGGCCTTGGATGGTGAAATGAGCAACCTACATCCCAGTTTATTTTCCCTAGACTATTCACTTTATATTGTCACTATCACATCCCTCTCCATCATCTCTCCTTGAAGTGAAGGAATCTCTTTTCATATGCAAAGATAATGTTGTTACCTGGTGTTCAAGCATCCTCCTCCTTTTGTTCTATTTTGTGATTGTCAAGTCAGGACTGATGGCAATATTTCATACTCATGTGCAAACTCTTGTCATTATCATGTCTTTCCTTTATGCTTTTTACTGAGGATAAGGTAAGGCTTAGCTGAGCATCTGCTATCATGTCATTTTTCTCAATTAGCTTGTACAAATCTGAATTTTCATGGGAGGCAAAAGCACTTGATAGCTGTTATCCCAGAAAAGCCCCACAGAGATTTGTCATCAGAATTTAAGCCTTCTGCAAGACCCTAGCCTAGATACCCATTAATGTGTAGGAGTAATCTCAGGTTTACTTTTAATGCACATGACTTTGTTAGCATCACATTTCATTTGTCACTACACTCCATATGTTTGCAAACTCCCACTCAGAGAGCTGCCAACTGGTTGCTTGGCAAGTCATTTAAGAAAAGGGTGTAGGTTTATTGGCTTTTCTGGCTTAAGTTGTCCCAGAAAATTTTTACCTACCTCACTCAAGACTAAGAACTATTTACTGGAATGGTCCTCTTCCAATGACTTTGTATTGTGAAAGTCTATCATTATGATTACTTAATTACTCATGGAAATGCAGGTCACCTTGAGATTAAAAACAGTTGCCATTTAAAGCATTATACAGCAGTAGGCAATACTATAATTATTTGACAGAAAAGAGGAGTTTTGGTCAAGAAGACTCAAACTTCCTCAAGGACAAATTGGAAGTGGTATCAAAATATTCGGCAGCAAGTTTACAGACTATGAACTCTAAAATCCCAAAAAGCTGTTTCAAGAGTCATTTCTTCTTAAGTTTCAAGTTTGATTATTTTGAATACCTGATGGGTTCAGAGATACCCACATCAAGCCTGCCAGAAGAAGCACTCCAGGCCAATAGGAGCCCTTTCAGCTTCCCCACTCTCCACATTAACCGGCTACTCTCTTTCCACACGGTAGCTGCATTATTATTTCCTGTTTGGTTGCCCCCAATCCAGATATTCCAGAAGGTAAAACTAAGTCTTCTATTTCCATTTCCAGCAAAAGTATAAAAATCTGAACACTGAAGAATAAGCCGGCACTCCTGCAATTTGATTTATGCCCACTAAACCCCTGTAGAATTTCACTGAAGCCAACAATCTGTGCCTGGATCTGTTGAAACTGCAGAAGGTTTTCCTTGACAATAGTCCAAAGGCAACAACAACAGGAAAGAAGAGAGTATTTTTAAATATTCTCAAAATTCAGACAGAATTCTCAAAAATCATCCTATATTTTCTTTTGCAATTAACATCTTAAACATAAATATTTCAAGAGTGCTTCCACCTGTGTTAGCTTTTTTTTTTTTTTTAAAAAAAAAAGTTTTGTGGCTTTTCTTCCCTCTGAAAAATTTGACAATGAAAAGCATATAAAATCCTGGATTAATCCCCCCCTTACCTGACATACCATTCATATATTTTCTAAGCTAACTTTCATATTTGCCTTCACAGTGTTTCTTCCCTATTCCTCCCCATTTTACACTGAAAATTTTGAAATGGCAAATAATCTTCTGCATTTTAAGTAATGAAAAGATTGTCTATAGCACGACCACTCAGATTTTCATTAGATATAATCCTTCAAAAATATTTTCTTATTCTGAAGTTATGAAAGACCTCTTCACCCCTGTCGGCTCATGCTCTTTAAATCAAAGGTGAGAATGTTACAGTGGAACACATTAATTCTCTCTCCGCACTGCTCTACATTATTCTCTACACAAGTTAATCTTTAAATAGCAGAGGAGTTAATTCACTATATAACATGGTATTTTCATCTTGTGTGGTACAACTATAAAAACACCAAGCTTTAAACCAAACATTAATCACACGGATTGAAACCAGTCCCAATCTTTATGGATTTATGGAACCTCTTAATTTCAGAGTTGCTCACTGATGTTTAGGCCTCTATTTTATACAGAATGAAACACCAAACATTCCCTTTGTGGCTCATTTTCCCCTGTGTGCTTTTGGTTCGTCTGGACACTTTTCTTATTTAAATATTTTTCAGTACATAGACCTCAAGTTATTGTTAAACTTACTCTCCTTTTGGAGATAGAGAAAAGGGAAGTATTTTTCTTCCAATTTTTTGTTTATTCAAACTTTTTGCATTATTTAGCTCCCATTTTTCCCACTGTTTCAGTGGAAAATACAATCACATTAAACCCACACTGGCACAAACCTCTCTCTAGAGAGCAACCTGGCACCTCAGCTGGGCTGCCACACTTTGGGTCTAAACAGGCTGCACTAAATACAGAGCTTGTGCAGCTTCTTACTCAAAAGGAAAGAAGTTTAAAAGCAAAGATGGCTCAATTACTCTTTAAAGAGATCAAACTAAAGTAAAATTTATTAAAAGCATAAATACCTCTCATTTCCATCTGAATTTCTAAATGCATTGGATATTTTGACCTCTGAACACAATATATTAAAAAATTTTAAACAGATGCCAATTGGCCTTTATCCCATTTTTTTTCATATGCTGCATCTATACAGAAGGTATTTGAGGAGTGACTAATTGTACAACAGTTTATTGCATTAAGGCTGTCAACAAACAGCCTCTGGAGACATAAGATGGGTCTAGAGACAACCCATTTGTAGTGTGAATCCCATTTGCTGTCAAGACACTAAGGCCACATGTTCTGCAATATGGACCTGCCTCTTGCATAATATTTAATTTCCTCTACAGTTCTCATAAGCTCCATTCCTAAAACGCTCAGTCAAAAGACTCTTACCAGACATTGCAGTAAGGTCAGCATTGCTGCTGAATAATTCCGTAATTCCAAGACCCTTCATGACATCTTTCAGATCAATTTCTTGTTCCACTGTGAACCTAGAAAACATAATAGAAAACTGCTAAAAGCCAAGAACATAAGCAGTATTTATTGTTATTAGAAGATTAAAATGTCTAGATAATGACAATTGAAATACTGAGATAAATAACAAAGCATCAATATAGCACATTGACATTTCTAAAAAAATACTTGTAAGATAGTTTACGGTCACAGCTAGTTTTCCTAATGCAAAAGCAATCAAATAGATACTAATGGCATATATAATCCCTAACAATAAAATATTAGTAAAGCAGTTATACTATTTGATGGTAATGCTTACTTTTAAGAAAGGGTTAATATAAAAGCTGAATTAATTGTACACATACTAGAATGAAGTATCAAGCAAATCAGTGCAAACACACACCTAAGGTAGCTGTTAGCAAAGAAAGTAGGAAACTATGGATATTCCACTTCTATTTAAACATTATAAGCAAAGAACAGAAGTTATGAATAATAATTAAGTAGTTCTGACTTAGCATCTAATTAGTTTGGTGGCAAAAAATCTCCATGTATTTTGACTGTTAGTAGAGAACGACAGAAATATAGTTACAAATGCACTTGTAACTAAAATCTGGCACAATTTCAGCTTGCCAGCCCATGCTCAGTATCATGTTACTAAGCTGCAAAGGCTGCCCTGAGGGCAAAGTGTGGGGCAAAAACGTGTTCGGTTTACAGCAGCTTCTTCTAAAAGATTCTGCAAGTTCTGCCTGGTGTTAGCAGGGCAAACAAGACAGGTCCCTTCCATGCAGGCAGCCACAGAAACACCGAGCAGCAGTGACTAGTGACCCTGGCCAGAAAACAGAAGGCAGACCGACATGAAAAGCTAATTTGAAATATTTGTCTATTTAAGGATTCACTGTAAAATGACCAGACAAATTATAAAATGACTTCAAATATGCTGACAAGTGACCAGGTATAATATAATTATGGAAAGAATATAGCCCAGAATGTTTTGTTACATGGTTATTTGCAGTGTTTATTCACACAAAGAACCAGATTGTCAGATTAGTTCCCCCCACACACACACACTCTTTTAGGTGCATATGATGCTAAAAGTAGCACTAAGCATCTATTGCAATTCTTATCCTAAGCCGGGGAACTGCTGCAACTTGGGGATATTAGAAACCATGAAAGGAGGCTGAAAAATTTCTGGCACTGAAGAGAAGACGAAGCTATTTTTGCCACAGAGACGGAAAAGAAGTTGGAGGATTGGTCTGTTTAGTCCAAAGAGAGCATCTGTTCTTACTATACAGTTCTATACTGTTTCACTCATACACATGCATACAGACATATACGCTTCTACAGACTTCCTCAGGAAGCATAAAGACACTAATAAGGAATGACTCAGCCTACAAGCTGAAGCTAAAGTCAAGAAGTGAAGGTAAGAGCTGGCTTTATTTTCACAAGGGTTGTCTGGAGTATCTCGCTACTTCCCAAGCATGAAATGAGGTCCAGAAAGCTGAACCACACACTGGCCTTGATTTCAGCTGTGTTTGGACCTCTCCCAAATAAACTGAAGGGGAGAATGAGACAGTTGGCATCTCAAACTGATTCTACTTTCTAACAAGCAGTTCCCCTGAGAGTTTAGCAGAAAAAGATGAGCTTCTCATGAAATTTTAAGGTTGTACAAGCATCAAATGATGCATTTGTCATAGACAAAGTCTTCTTTGATACATATCTGAAACTTAGAAATAAGTGTCATACAAAACCACAGCATCTTTCTTGTGACTTAGACTTGAGAGAAAAAAAAAGCGTCATCTTTTACGATGCTGTGCAACCCTTCTGAGATGCTAAAATATTAAAGTCCCCAGAAGCTCCAGATCCATAGAATCAAGTATACTTTCTACTTCAGAAACAGAAGTCAACTGCAGGCTAGTGTGACTCATCCCCAAGGCTCTAATTTCACAAACTACCAGCACTTCCGAGTGAGAGCAAGAAAGTCCAGGTTCCCAAAGTGGTTCTAGCACATGACATTCTGCAGAACAAAAAGCAAGCAACCAACAGCTGCCTTTCCCAAAACCACAGGGCCAAACACTCCTGCTTGAAGGACAGGCCCTCAGGATCTCTGCCAGGATTTTAAGGCTCCAACATTTTAATTTTTAAGTGGGTCTTCCTGAGGTGCTAAGACCAACTTGCAGAATCCAATACCCTAAAAGAGATTTACAGCTGCTATAAAGACCAAGGCCAGGCCATGATTCTTTCTACAGCAAGGTCCTTGTATTCAGGGTTAACTATGGGCAGCTAAATGTGCATTTTAGTCAAACTTTTTTTTCCTCATTCATGATTCCCAATAACATTTATCCATGTATCTCAATAACAACCAGAACTGGCCTGTTCCTCATGAAGGGGACTCAAAAGCATGTTTAAAAACATTTGCTTTTTTTGGAGAGAAGAGAAAAACAATTTCTACACCTAAAGCAACTTGTCTTTTTAGTACAGTCTGACACATTTTAAGATATTTCATTTTAGAAATTCAGGAACACTGGAACAATCCTTAAAAGGAACTGTGAAAACTAGCACTGTTATTAGGCAGCTTTTCCTGCTGTGCTCTTGAAATAAATTATGTTTGGGAGACAGCTTTGTAAATTAGATTCATGGTCTGTTTCACTTTTTACATAGAAGTGGATTAAAATGTTGATCACTTTAGTCTGGGATAAACTGGAAACAACGATTTCAAAATGAAAATGACTAAGTATAATTTAACAATTCAGTACAAATCTCTTCTTAGCTATTTAGGGAAGTAATGCACAATTTCATTTGCGCACAGATAGCACAGAGAAATTGGAAAGTTGTGATTAACTCTGCTTTGGCTAGTCATTCATGCCCTATTACAAATGTAGAAGTTTAAAAAAAAACATTCCCTTTATAATTGGATAGCATCTTTCAGGGTATAAAAATTTAATTTTATTCCAATGCTGCTTTTAATTTCTCAGTGGACAGTGCCTGCAGGCCACATTTTATAATATATCTAGAGCATAAAATATTTATGAATAAAATATTTAGAGGACTGAAAATCCCACAGACTACCTCTGAATTCTAATGGAAATCCATCATCTTGGAAGCATGCAATTAATCCCTGGAACTTGATAAGGAAGTTAGCTGTATCCATGTATGGAATTTCAAACTCATACTAGGTATCATTTATAACCTGAAAATACAGTAGATGAGTTGTACCTCTTTTGCTTCTAACTTAAATGCACTAGCACTTACCAAGTTCTTTGGGGTTCTTAAATAAGAGCAACAGATATTAAGACCAGTCTGAAGGAGGTATTGGGCACAGAAGAAATACAGACACAAAAACTAGCTCCTACAAACTCATGTTGCAGATCCCGACTTGAAGGAATCCTGGAGTCCCGATTTTGGTGAAAAAAAGCAAACAAAACCCAAGTCTACCTGTAAAACTAAAACCCAAGCTCAGTATCAAGAATATGCCATACAATGGTGTCCATGTATTTAATTTTATGGGTATGTACATACCCAAGCTACCTAAATTTAGAAGCTAGCCTGTTTGCACATGTGGGTAAATGTTATCTGGGAGAAATGCCTCTTGCATTTTAGCAGAAGGTTCACACCAAACCTCCTTCAGCCTAAAATTTCTATGGAAAAACAAAAGTGAACAATAAAAAGAACACCACAGGATGAGAGTGGGCTCAGTTTGTACAGAATCTGCAGCACAGTTTTCCTCTTTTAGTGCTTCTCCAAAGGAAGACTTAGTTAAGAACTGATACTCCTTACTGCAACTATACGGGGCAGAGTAAAATAGGGATGCCCAAAACACTGCTGCTTCCTCATTGCTATCACTCCAAACATGACAACTTTAAGAGAAATGGGATTCAGTCCTGATTTGGAATGATATGGCAATGCCCACAGCACCAGTTCATCCCAGTGTGATTTATCCCTGTTAAGCTTGGCTTATTGTGCTCACAGCTGCAGTTAGCTTCTTGAAAGGGATCCCTACATTGGAAGGGGAGTCAAACCACAAGGACTTGTGTCCTGCTCTTTAAATGTGAGATATAAGCTCAAATCCTCTCATCACCTGAAAAAACACAACAACAAAAAAGGAAAAAAGTTCCTTTAACAAGTAAAATATTTCACTAATAGCATTTTTAATGCCATGTACTGCTGCATTATGCCACAGAAAGTGTAAGTCGAATGAACTACATTTAAGTGGTGCTGTATTGTTAGATAAACACTCCAGTAAAATTAGCACGAATCACTCAAAGGGTATCATGACCCAAATGTATATTTGGGACATTTAGCACCTTTATTGCTATGCCAGGTATAGGACCAGCACAAAAAGAAATATTTGGAGACAGATGAAGTAGAATTCTGTGAAACATAATTCAATAAATATGCATGCCACTGAGCACATTCAGTTTATACATCCACAAATGAATGGACAGAAGTCTCACTCCCTTCTGATAGTCATATCCTGTTATTCTATTGTTCCCCTGAGGGGAAAAAAAGAGGAACTGGAACTGCATTTCAACATTCAAACATTTGTGTCTACATAGATGCATAACATTAGGACTTTTAAATTAGCAACAAGTAGAAATTTAATTAGTACTTAAATGAAACATTTCAGCTTCTGTTAATTCTCAGACTTGTAATATTTTTATGGCTCCTTTCTGAACAGAATTTATTCATAATGAGCTCTGCAAAACAATGCAAGCAATCATTCAGAGGGAATATATTCCTCCTTTCCGAGGCTGCAGCTGAAATACAAATACAACATTCCTCTCTTGCTCAGTAACTACCGTAGCACAGCTCATGCCTCCTGGGCTTTCTTCTCCAAGCAACTTCCATTTGGTTGCTGCATAACCACAGATCTGATCAAGCTGTTCAAGTTTTATCCACTCTGCTACTCCAATCTTTTGGAATGCAATCTTTCCTCTTGTTTTGACTTGGAAACATGAACTCACCTTGGTAAATAGACTTCCACTTTTTGTTTTTTCACAGAGTTAGCCCATTCTTCAATCAACGAGGCTTTGACCAGTGGCTCCAGTGAGAGCAGTGGAACCTCCTGCCTGGAAAGAACGATCATCATGCCCATCTCATCCCCTTCATAGGGTATTTCCAGAACTTGGTAGATGCCACCAGCTTCATTGGAGCCATCACTGAACTCCCCTGCAAAAGAGCAAAAAAAACTATCAATTAATTTTCTTTTGTCTTCCTTAGAGATACGGGAAAAATAGCTAATGCTATACAATATTTGCTAGACACTGGAGCCTAAAGTGACCCTCTTTATCCTACTCAGTAGGAATCAATATTGTTTTCTTCTCATAGGCTCTGAGCCTTAACCTCTGTTTTCCTATAGCAGGGAAGCTTATGCAATCACACAGACTGGAGGCCATCAGATCTCTGAATCTATTAGCTAATTTCCATCAAGTTAGACAGGAGCCTCAAAGGTATTAAAATTCCCAGGAGTTTCATGGAAATGAGCAGCATGGGAGAGAGTTTCATGCATGGAAGAGACAGTTTATCAAAGGTAAGATTGAGGTAAATGGCAGACACAGTAGATCCTATATTTGAGGTTCATTCTCAACTTAAAGAAAACAAGCATCTGTAATTCTGCTTTTCATAGAAGCACTTTTACTCTTCCCATGTTTTTATAAAAAACAAACAGGGACAGGGATATTTACAAACAATACTCATTATATAGCAAAGCATAAGAAAATGTTAGCCAGAACCAGGAACACCTCTAGAAATGCAGACGTTGGAAACAACAGTCAAATGTTCTAAAATTCACCATGTGGCAAATATACATCTAAAAAAATGAGACCATTATGAATTATAAAAAGTCACTATTCATTATTTTACACAAGCAAACACATTGTGAAAATACATCAGAATCCCTTCATCATGCAGTCGCACACCACACTTAGAATTACAGGTGGAATAATATTCCACAACACAAATGAGTATTATTGCCACAATGCTATTAGGGAAAGTATTACTGGTTTTAAATTGCTAAAGCTCCTACGCACCATAATAGAACTCTCCTTGCTGGTACATCATTGGAATTTGCACTTCACTTTCATCATCTTTAGTGAAAGAAAAAGTTCTTGTGTTTTCAGGTCTGAACTGTGATTTCCAGTTACCCTTAAAGTAGATTGCATTGATTAAAGCCAAATGAGTTAGGGCTCCAAAATCGCTTGACGACACAAAATCTTTGATCATATCTGGGGGGAGGGGAAGAAAAAAAAATTACTGTCAGTCAGCACATCCAACTAACATTAAATCAAAACCCAAGACAGCTTGAAAGAATGCAAGAAAATAAAAAGCCGTGCTAACATATAATTTCCAATTCAAATGTTCCTTTAAATCCCAAATTAAACTGCCAGTGTTTTGCAAACCTAAATCAGAGTGTAGGCACATAAATCTTTCCATCGAGCATATGTCAATCAATTGTTTCTTGATCACTGCTTGAACATGCACCACAAGCAAACCTCCAGTGTGGTTTAGTTTTATCCTCTAGAGGTCAAAACTCCTACAAGTTTGGTTCCAAACCAAAGCAGCACTTTGGGTGTTTAAAGCGTGTAAACAAATCCTTTTGAATTTAAACAGCACCTGGGCCATTTAGAAGTGTTGATTTTTTAACACAACCAAGCATCTCTGACTCCAAAGAAGGGACTAATTGAACCATGCAAGTTCACAGCATTTGTTCCCCTGGCAGTCGGTCTGGGAAAACAAGAGAAGATATTTCACATTTGCTCTCTTCACTGGAGTTTTGTCAGCTGAGCACAGCACCTGCTTTGCTCCTACTCCCAAATAAATAATTTATAGCAGGATATATTCTACATTACCTGCCTTAGCTCACCTTAAACAGCTTTTCAGCAAAATAATTTTGAGTTTGTTAAATTTGATACACTGCCCAGATTTGCCACTATTCTTGAAGAATTACAGCCTCTTTCAGGTGGCTTGCCTTTTTGCTCACTTCTATTTTTAACTGACACTGCAGTGCAAGGTGCCAAAATAAATAAATTCCTCACTGATTATTACTTCTTAATCCATGGTTTAAAATACAAATTAATTCTGCTTCCTGGGGCTGCACATGACATCTGCCAGCTGGTGCAAAGTGTGTGTCATAGGGCAGTATTTGTTTTGAGCATGACTATATTGACGCTTCGCTTCATCTGGAAGGATATTCTTGGAAATTCAACAGCACCCATGCTTGCATACTCACTTCCTTTAGTTGGGGAAGAAAATAAAATGGAAAAAAACAGGGTAGGATACACTTCCACTTTTCTCTTTTCATTTAAAGCATCATATTCCCTCACACCTCAGCCATATCTTGTTAACAAACATACTTTAAGAATTTTCCTGGCTAGAGACCTTGGACAGTGATGTTTTCTACTCGGAGTCTCCCATCATGATTAACACTGGCACTAGCTGCTTGCCTGTCTCGTATCCCCTTCCTCAAGGGACAAGCAGCCTCCTATCAGCAGAGCTGGCAGGCAGGACAGAAGTACTTCAAGTGCCAAGAAACTGGGCTGGGGGTAGTTGCTATCACAGCTGCCTCTGCTGGCTCTACAGTCCCTGCCAGGGTGATGCTTATGAGGCCGGTCAGCACATGCAGCAGGTATCAAGCTGCAGATCCCAACTCACTGTTCCTTTTAAAAAGGAATTGTTCCTTCTAAAAAGAAACAGTATTTTAAGTTTCCCTCAGACACGCACTATGTTTCTCTTGTGAAAACACTGTGCAATTTGCTGCATGACTTGCATTCTCTCTATTTCTGTAGCCTGAGATAAAGGGCAAAATTTATTATGGTTATAATAGTTCCAATTTCCTTGCAAAAACAAGATGATTTTAAAAACTGTATAAAAGCATTACATGAGCTGCTTTTCATTTCAGTGCTGGAAATTTCCACGAAGCATTAGGGCTTCTTAAATGTTCAGACAATATGGTGATATGTCAGTTCCTTAAGGGAGATCCTGATCTTACCTTTAGATCAATGGCAGCACAAGTATTGCTAGAACTGATCCTGTTTTTGAATTACACTTAAAATATCAACCTTCAAGTGTGCCAGGTGATTAAAAATAAGGTTATGATTTAAACCCTACATGGGACAGGAGCTTCACTCCCATGCCTTGACTCTACATGTCACACCACCACATGCTTGTGATTCCACATATGAAGCAAACACTATGCCCCAGCAGATCTGAGTAAATGCCCTTACATAAGCAGCTCTGCACTTGCTCTTGTTCCTGAAATCATGTATTCTCCCTACATGCTATCTGACATTTGAGTTGTTTCCTCATGTTGGAAGGGATTGACAGTGATTTTTGGGCCTTTTTTTATTCCTTAGTATTTAATTTCTTAGTACCTTGTACCTATGGCTATCAGAGAGATCTAGGGATCCTCTACATATCTATAGCACAGGCCAATAATCTCTTCACATAAGTACTGTTAAATGCAGAAAAAAATCTATTTCTAATGAATACCTAGATCAGTATCAGAATACTGTTAAAATATCATTCAACCTCAGCAGATGTTACAGCTACTTCAAGATAGCAACAGAGGAAGATGCATTCTGACAATTACCTGGGGATAAGTAACAGTAAATACCACCTAAAGACAGATCATCTCTGCTGTACAGGAAAAAAAGTTCCACAAAGAACTGGCATTAGAATTCTTCTTAGGGGAGGAGACACCTTAGTCTTAATGTGAAGAGATAACAGACAAGGCAACAATTCTACCAAATTATCCAACTTTTAAAACACAAAGAACACTTACTGCACAAGTACATAGAAGAATCATGTAGACTTACTGTTTGTATGATTCTCCACCCACTTATTGATGTGGGTGGCTACAGCCACACTTTGACTGAAATCTATGTTCTCTACTTCAGCTTTAAAGTATTTTTTCAGCAATTGCACAAATTTGTCACTGACATGAAATCCATTCTGCACATAGAGAGAGTTGGCAATATTCAGAACGTAGTGACTTTCTTCAGCAGTTGCCCTATCGGAGAGGTCCTTCAAGAATGTAAATTCCTCGCCTGTGTAAAGAAAGAAGATTCAGGAAGGCATTTCAGCAAATAAATTCTCCTTCAGAAATTTACAAAGCCATCTATGGTGTGGGAGAAGGGCAGATGTCCATCTCAAACACTTGTTTTACATTTGACCTAGTATCTCTTTTTTTAAAAAAAAAAATCCAAAGACCGAGGCATATAGCCTTATTGACTGGAAAGGCAATACAGTCAAGGCAAAACAGTCTTATTTTCCTACTCCCTACAATAAGCATAATTATCAAGCCATTTGGACGCCGTCACATACAGAGCTGCCAACACTATTCCATTCAGAAGAGCAATTTAAAAAGAATTATTCTTACAAGTGACACTTATGCGTTATCATCACAAATGCTTAATGGAATGTTTGTTACATCCAAAGATCCCATTGTTTAGGGCCCTGGCAAAGCACAATGAGTTTCAAGTTTTGAAGCTGAAGATCTCAGGAGGGCAGAATCATTTGGCTGTGTTAATGAGGAATTCTGGCAGTGACAGCATCACAAGAAAAGCTCTGGAAAAAACTGCTCCTAAAGTGCAAAGGTGATGAGACTCATGAAGTACTCATCTTTAAGACAGAAAGCTTGACTGCTGCTTGGTCCACCTGAAGCTGAAATTTCTGGGTAAACTTTAAAAAACTAACTTAATCTGAGTAAAGCTATATATTCCAAGCCAAAAAAATCACTCAAGTACTTTCACAAGGAATGACAAAATTATATGAAGTATCTTTGAAAAAAAATGCTAGAGATACATAACAACATTTCCAATTAAATTACTAAGATGGTTTTATATGCTCTTCTATGTAATATTGCTTTCATTTTCAAGTTTCTTTATAAGCCATAATAAATAGTACTACCAAAAGTAACCTATTGATTCTTGGGCAAATGACATGCTTATTTTACATGAGAGCGCCAAATTGACAGATAATTAGTTAGCAGTTAATTAACCAACACTTAATTTTAACCCTGGAAGTGCAAGTGCCCAGCCAGGGTTGTATGCCAGCATTTCGGACTACGTAGCATCCATGAGATGTGCCTCAGCACACTCAGGTCAAGCAGGATTGCAAGGAGCCAATTCCTTAATAACCCATACACAACACTGGGTCACTTCCAGGTTGTTCAGGCATTGGTATCAGTTGCTTTTAGCTTAAAAATATCTACAGTCATCTAAAACATGATTAAAAGGCCTTACCATTTTTTAGGCTGTCAAAACCCAACGCATGTCGAATTTCTTTCAAGGTGGTTCCATGGGCTCCAAGCTCTACCATCCCCATGGCTATTACAATGCCCAAAGGAGAAAAAAGAATGTTCTCATCTTCTCTCGTAGCTCGCAGCTGGTTGTAAACATTGACAGAAAGCTCCGCAATGGTTTCATCAGGAGAGTTTGTGCTGAAGGCCTTACTTTGCAAAACAAGCAAAGACAACAGTCCAAGGAAATACATGTCTTGAGATTTTAAGACCTGCAAGATACAATCTAGAAAAAATAAGCCAGGCTTGTTTAAGAAATAAGAATCAGTTCAAGAAATAAGAAACAAGAGCAAAACTCTTAGCCATATGAGGGCAAAAATTCAATTATGGAGTTCAGTTCCTTTATTTGGAGGAGACATTGAAAAACGTACATCAAGCTGAAGCAATGAACTATTTTCAAAGAAGCACCCTATCTCATTGTGTGACTTCATCCTTTTTAGAGGTACCTACGATAGATTAGCAAAATGTAAATTTGACAGAAAAGATCTTAAAGGGTATAGCGTCTCTTTTGATAACCATGTTTCAAGAATTAGTATTGGCTTCTGCACTTCTTCACCAAGGAAGCTTAAAGACACATATTTCTTTCATTTGACCTTCCTCTAGGATGTAGCTTATTCATCTACGTCACCAAAAATTCCAAACTGGTAAAATTACTAAATACTGTCCTGAGTGTCAGCAAGCTCTTTCACAAACCAAGACGTTGCTCAGCTATTAAACATGGCAAACATTCAAAAAAGTATTTGAAAGAAAAATAAGTCAGTGTCAAACAGACCTCACTTACCAAACGAAAAGGCTTCTGTTAGTAACAGCGAAGAGTTGGCCAGTCACTCAGTTAAGGGTCAACACCTACTGTGAGATCTTTAGAGGAGAGTTAACACCAGGGAGAAAGTTTCACAACAGAGAAAACGAGTGGACTACGTAGAGGAGGAGACTGTTAGTACTAATCTTTTCACTAATCCACCTCCCAGCTTGGCTAAAATGCTTCAGTAAACAGCAGTTCCCCTGCCTGTAATCACACAGCAGCTGATGCTATGAAAAACCCCAACTCCTGGAGCAATACTCATTCCTCCCCATCCCCATGTTTCTCCCTTAAGTCTTGCTTTGCCTCGGCAGCCCCTATACTACTTCCATTTGGGGGTCAGTAGTAACAAGCCAACACAGCTTATGCTTCAGTCCCTCCTCTCAGAGGCTTAGGGTATCTCTAACACACAAGCAGCAAAGATGCCTGAATTTGCAGTCTAGTGAACAGTTAAACAGTTTTGGTCCAGAAGACTTGTTGCATATTGCTGTGCCTGTCTACAGTGCATGGACTTGACTTGTGTGCGTGTGCCTGTGTTGTCAATTGGCATGAGGCAGCCCAAGCGCCTCTCCCCCACGCGCCTCATCTTTGCTGTTCAGTCTACAGACACTACAGATGTCTACATACCTGACATGGAGACCCCTGGTAAGCTCTATAAAACATTTATCTTCAAAGCACTATGTAGCATTATCTAATGAACTCACAACACTGAATGATACATAATTTAAGCATTATTACATTTTATAGCTGAGGAAATTGTAAAAGCAACAGGGTGCACGTACGTGTTTTGGCAGCAACCTCAATGAGCCGCTGATTAAGATTCTCCCTATCTCAGCCACAGATCACCTCTGCGTCTGTTCTCACTGAAACAAGAACAAACGGGAACAGAAACCACGGAAGCCTCCAAGGAACAGGCCAGGTCCTTGCTGCGTGTTAACCAGGGCCTGGCTTCCCCCCTCTCCTCTCCTCCTCCTGGGTTTGGCTCTGACACATGCCCCGCTCCTCAGCTCCATCTCATCATCTCCCCCGGCTACTTGCAAATAAGTCCTAGCAAGGTTGCAAAAGTCTCCCCTGAAGCCTCTTTCTCTGCTTAGCATCAACTTAAGAGTGACACAGAATAAATCATGTAGAGCTAAAGCACTAGGAAAACTGTGGTTTTTACTTAATAGCTATATACTTCAGCAAAACTATAAAACTACCAGTCTCCCCATGGCACATACTTCAGCACGGCACAACCTTTGCTATTTATTTCATAAAGACCAAGATCATTAACTTTTAATGGTTCAAAACAGCTTAAACGTATCACAAGCTCTCATTACTTTGTTTAATAGCTATTAAGGTTAAGTTTTTTTTTTTTTAAAAAAAAACTGTCCACTTAATGATTGGCTTAAGGATACTAAGATTTCTGTGGCAGTAAATAGACTGATGTTCCTGTTTCCTCTGCAGGTTTAGAGTGTCAAGATTTCCTTACTAAAAAGAAATAGATCGAGCATCTTTCCTAATACTACAAACATGCGACTGCATTGCAGCCCGTCACCGATACACATGCCCTGGCATTAGTCTCACAGCTGCACAAAAAGCAAAGATGCTTATAAACATCTCACAGCCTGAGCAAAAAGAGCTCAGAACTGAGGAAAGAGGCTTCATAAGAGGTATTTGACACTTGATGAACAGAGGAAGCAATGTAAAGTTCTGCAGGAAGTGTATGGTAGTGTCATACACAGAACTCCAACACCAGCAGAAGCTTATTCTTCTTACAAGCATTTAAACTGCCCTAAAATAATCACAGAAATTCACATCCTAACAGGAGCAAACAACCTATGCTGATGAACATGGATGTACTTACAAAAAGAGCAACAAATTTTCCTGGTGTCAAGGTCACAGAACAGAACTGCTCCAGCTCGCTTGGAGTGGGACGTCACAGACCTTTGAGAAACTTCCATTTCAAAAGAAAATTCTCCAAAGGTTTTTGCTGCAGTTGCTCAGTTCACCCTCACACACCCTATTGCTACACAGTTAAACAAGGGAAGAGGGATTCATGTCAGTGAGGTGCTCACCAAGGCAGTTAGTATCAGTATTTGGCCTCAGATAATGCTAAAAAGCCCATATCATACAGATGGAAGATTTTCTTCCTGATTAGTCTTCTGAAAAACTCCTCATGTAAGATAATTAAAATATTTCCAATTTGGTTTTACATTCTATTTTTACCTGTGCAAGCTGAGAGGTCTGGGGGTAAATTCAATTCATTTTGTGCTTTGGAAAAAGCACACACTTTTCTACTGACAATTGGAAAATTAGTTCTAAATTAGCATTCGAGTCATAATGGTTATAGCCTCCCTAATTCCACCTTACTTAAGGCTCTATTACCTTCTGTTTTTATGCCTTCTCCTTTCTCTTCATGCAGGTCCTGTTCCAATGAGCAGATGAGCATTTATTAGGGTGCAGCAGGTTCACAACTTGTTCTTAATTAAGATTCAAATGTTGCTCCTTTTGCAGGATTGCAACAGTAAGGATTTGGAGACCATTCTTTAAAATCCACTATATCTTATTCACAAAGATACTTCAAGTGAAAGAAGTGAAGTTGAACATTATGTAGCATATGCCTGGGAAATTAAACTATTCCCATGAATATCACTTTTTAGACTACATTCTTCGGAGTCATCAGCAATACAGACTCTTAGCTCTTCTGCCTCAGTGAAATCTAGTTAAATACTGCATCTGCTGAAAAGGGGGTTGAGGTTCATATTTAACAATCTTCAAAACAAGAACCAGTTGCTGCATGCCTTCTGCATTTAGTGGCTACTATACATATTAAAGGTATCAATGGGGCTCTTAATTGTTTGCACCACAAAACACATGTGAAGTTCCTGTCTGAAGGCCAGTGACAGAAACCAAGCTCTGCAAGATTTCATCTTTAATCAACACACTCTCTCCTAGCAGGGGCTGACAGAATCAGTGCAAACACCCAAATGCTCTCCTTGTTTAGCCTCTTCTTGAGAAAGCAAAAGTGTGCAATAAATCATCTTTTGGTACAGTGGTTTGTCAGAGGATTAGTTTGGTTCTTGCTTGCAATCTTCTCAAAAAGGCAGCACCAGGGCACTAAATGCTGTAGCAATTCAGTGATATCCACGCGCATCATGTTAATTAACTAATTTTGACATAACTTTAATTTAAACCTGCTTCTCTAACATACATATATTGCTCTCCTTGAACAGCTACTCAGTTTGACATTGTTTTATGGTTCTCCTAGTACTGCTGCTCAGGGCATTGGGATGTGCCTGTTTGGGCCATGGGCTTCTTTGGCTTTTGGATGCAGTTCTGTAAAGAATTTCTTGGAATTACCTTAAACTAAAGGCTCTCCCCTCTCTGCTTCCAATTTTAATTTGTTTCTGCACACAGCACGATCATTTGGAACAACGCCTTTCTTCCCAAGACCGAATGATTTTTCACCTTTAAATTTAATCTCTGTGTGCCATTTATCACTTTCCTTGTTTACTACCTAAAGTAATCCTGAGAGATTTCCAAAGTGCTTTAGTCATTAGTTAGTTCAAGTCATTACAAGTGCAATTCTTGGGAAGTTTCTTACAGAAATTTTCTGAAATTTTGAAAATATTTCATCTCCCGCCCCCCCATTTAGTCTGCCCCAACTCCACAACAGACCCCAAACAGCTCAGAGTAAGGCCAACATTCTGCTCTTTTGTCCCACAGCCAGCACTGATTCAGCAGCAGTCCTTCACACGAGCAGGGAGGAAAAAAATAACTTAAATGATGTTTAAAGAAGAAAGTCCACAGGTTAGAACACAAGACTAACTGCAAGTGAAGCTCTTGCCTTCCCCAGCATAAGGCTGCAGTGACTAAGAAGGGAAGCAGAAGCAGCTCGCCCCCTCACACCCACAGCCCCGAACGGTTCCGTTCCTCACATATGCTTTCAGCAAAACACAAAGGGCCAAGCAGCTTCTACACGGCAAGATATTTTGAGATCTCTTGCCTGCAACTCACACTGGGTTCACGGAAATAAAATATCACCAATTCTGAGACAGGAAGAACCGGACTTGAAGTAGGAAGGTGCCAAAAAAAATTAAGGGTCATATTCTAGCACTATGTAGACGCCAGACATGAAAAAAACAAAAAGACTATGGTTTCGTTGTCTTTTACACCTACACAGGCTGTGGGCTTTATAAAGAAACTCTCCTTATGGCTTTTCAAACCCAGTGACTTTGCAAAACACAACAGTGATGCATTGCCTTTAGCTCCTTTGCACACAGCCACTAAACTAAGATTAGTTGCCTTAAATATTACTCTTGGCTACAAGCTGAACACCAAGGCTACAGGAAGCAAAGGAGAAAAAACTGCTGCTCCCTTCTGTGGAAGGAAGGGCCTGGGGAGACAAGCAAGCAGGAGCACCTGAAGGAAC